GTCTCTGTCTCTGTCTCTGTCTCTGTCTCTGTCTCTCTCTCTGTCTCTCTCTCTGTCTCCGTTTCTGCCTTTGTCTGTCTATCTGCCCGTCCGTCCATCCATCAACCATGCGCACGCACACACTTGTGTTTCAAAGGCCAGTACACGCTACGATGTTGCATGCCGACTTTGTAATGCAACCTCATATGTTTTTATAATGAATTATATTGTGTACTGGAATGTATTGTGCATATGTCTGAGTATAACATGTATAACATGCCGCATGAGTAGTGACCACAGAGAGAAGAAGAGAGCAGGTCTTGTTGTATCGTGCATGCAACGTTTGACAGATTTAAACTTTTTTCTCTATCTACAAAAATTAAAGAACAAGTTTAATCATGTAGGATTTTGTCATTATGACTCATCATTTCTCTCATAACTGGTGGCATTGAATTTACCAGGGATATGTGAAATAACTGCCAGAATAATTTATCCGTATGAAGCATACTCGTGTCTGTAATATGTAATGAGCAGTAACTATAGCATAGCCAGGATTGCATACATGCCTGACTCAAACTTACTCGGAGTGCGCTTACGTGGCGAATGCTATTCACAGTCTGTTTCCTTCGTCTATGGATTATTTATCATACAATTAGTGCACAATCACGAGCAAACAGCATGCGCATGCACGCATGCATACATATGCCCACCATGGTGATACTCCATTAGGTGATATCAAAGTTGGGAACACTCCTAATAGAGCGTTAGCTTGTTTGTGACTATGGGCTAACGCTCTATTAGGAGTGTACATGCACACACCTATGGGAACATGCACACACCGTCACACAGGTATTATACGTACTGTGTTCATACAGTAAGTAACTATTCAGTTGGAATTGTAAAGCCCGGCGCACACGTGAGTAATTTTACTCAAGTAAAATGATGCATGCGTCAAAATACTCACGTGTGCGGCGGATTTTCGTTGAGTATTATGCGTCAAAATACGCACGTGTGCGGCGGATTTTCGTTGAGTATTTTGACGCATGCATCATTTTACTTGAGTAAAATTACTCACGTGTGCCCCGGGCTTAAACCTAGATTATTCACAATCAAAGCCATATAATTGACATAGACTGTGTACAGTGTAGAAATGGCTTCCTCTATTTTATGTTGTCTTTGTTTGATATGCACTGAAGTGAAACTACAGTGGAATTCGTACACGTGCATTCACCTGGCATTATAGCTCTAACAAAACAGTGTTGTTTCTGCTGAGCAGGTGAACGCAGTGATAGTTGGGCAGTGGCAGTGTAGCGTTAGGTGTTTGAATATGGCTTATTGTCCAGGTCCTGTAGGTCTATTGGGAAAAAGAGAAAAGTAAGTTCGTGTATATGTTTCAGATTGGTTTCATGGTTCTGTAGTATGCCTTCCGTATCCATTTGCGTGTAGTTTGTCATTATCAGATCGAAATAACAGTATATTTTCGTTGAGGTACTCATTTGTGTTTATACTTGTATGTAAAGTCTGTATTGCTTTTAGGGAATTTATTGGTCCAACGGCAGGAGGAGCATTATATGAGAGCATAGGCTTTGAGTGGGGTACAACAGCAGTAGCGTGTTTTCTTCTAGTATTGGTAAGCACAGGCATAATTCCAATATCTAAAATGTTTCAATTTCTTATTTACCATGTATTTAGAAGCTGCCGTGCAAACATTTCTAAACTTACTTCACCCCTTTTGTAATTGACTCTGTTTGTGAGATAATTACGTTAATGTGCATACAAAAAGTTATGTAAATGGTATCTGCTTATAAAGTACATAGGCTATATAATTGTCTGTTTTAGGTAGTGAGTTGTTTAAAACTCGTATACGCATAGTTATAAAATTTTATTAAATGCTTGTGATTAGATTTATTAGCAGACATGTGAAGGAATACTCGGCATACTTGCTTGAATGTTGGCAGCATTGAGGAATTAATTGAGCATTTATTTAGCATTAGCATTAGCACTAGCATTAGTATTGTTATTTAGCAATAGCATTTATTTAGCATATATTGAAATTAATTAGAAGTATCTTCATGTTATATTCACAGGCTGTAGTGTTCATAGTGCTCTGCGTCACTGAGTGGGTACGGGAGAAGAGTAAAAAGGAACAGCAGCTACCAGTCGTATCAGAGAAAACGCCCCTGTTAAAAAAATGTGGGTCTGTTGGTGACCTCGCTTCTCACCAGCAGAATGGAGCCATCATTAAAGAAAGTTGCCCAGAGTGTCAGTCATTAATTAGGACCTCGTCTCATAGAAACAAGGATTTACATGCCCTTTCGGTGTAATGTAAAGCGTTTCCATTTCTTTCCTGTTCAATGCCCATACGCCAGAAAATTTTATTGGTTTTTGCATTCTATCAACGTCAATAGCTATAATGTACGTACCATTTTTTTTTAAAGAATCTATAGTGTTCAAAATGTGGAATTACATTTTTAGTAAACTCTTCATATGTTAGTCCTAGAAATCATATTAAAGTCTTCATGTATCACATAACAGAATTTGATCAAGTGTTGTTTAGTAGATTTTGCAATAGCTATTTTTTGATGGTCAACATTTTGCACAAATGTAATAAATTATGATTATTATTGAAAATCTGCGAACAATAGGGTTTACATGCATGCTGTGTTTCCTCAGGATTGTACTTTGTTCGCTGATGCACACGAACTTAGATACGAGTCATATGCCATTAAAATGGCGTTTTTAGCAATGAGTGTAATATAATTAGCTGTGGTTCTGCAAGTTCTTAGTTGTAGTCTTGGAGTGAGCTGTCACACTTCATATGCATGCTCTCAGGAATATGTAATAAATGTGTATATTATGTATTCCTGCTTCCTTTGATATACGTCTTGGTTAATTTATAGCAAGCAACCCGTTTGTTACCTTTTTTTATAATATCAAGAGCGTATAAAGAAGGTATAAATAAAGTATACCTTCTTTATACGCTCTTGATAATATCCCTTATATTTTCATTTATATTTATTCATTTCATTTATTTCTTATTCTTTTACTCGCAGAGTGTAGAAAGAGCGTATGTAGGAAGAAACTGCGTGGAGGATTATTTTCCAGAATTACTAGTGAAACAGTGTAAAATAAATTGAATTGTGATACCTTATCATGTTGGCAGGTATAAAATTTGTTGTGAATTACCTGTGAATCAGTAGTTATTTTTTAATTATGAAATGGAATATTCTATGACGATTAGTTAGTAGCTTAGACTGCACGACCTTTTGCTGCGAATTAACAAAATGAATCCTCAATCCTCGTGGGTTAATTATTGAACTGTATATCTGTAAAGGAAAACAATTGGAAAATATTTTATTAAACAATTTGCATTAATAGATTTTGTAAGTTTTTTCTAGTTGTGCGTGACCATTAATTAGGTATGTAGGAGGATGCTACATGAATTGATGCTATAGGGTGTTACAATTATATTGCCTCCCATCCGGTAGCCGCTGCGTAAAGGACAAATGCGTACAACTATCATAAGTCTATAGGACCAAGTGGTTAAAACAGTTTCAAAAGATTCTTTGTGCAAAGACTATATGGCATAGCTACTTATTTTTTTAACGATTGAATCAACTGGAAATTTATCAGTCCATCTCACACGCACGCGCAGCTGGTCAACTGCCGAGTACGACTACAATAGCAAATATCTATACAAACCAGTATAGATACCGTACCAGTCTATATCGTACCAGTTTTACGATTGTTACATACAGTTATAAATAGGGTAGTAATCGTATTTTGTGACATTGTGACATTGTGATATTGTGATATTGTGACATATAGTGGGTAAGGAAGTATCCAATGCGGAGATAATCTTAATTAACTGTGGCGTAAAGGCTTTACAGCTTACAGTGTGCTGCTGTTAATGCTACAGTAAGAGCCGAGTGCTTTTGTGGGAGTAATCGTCACAGTTGAAATTTGTTGTGCCAGTCTTGCCACGTTAGCCAACTTTGTATATATATTAATTGCGCAATAGTGATTAACAGCGCCATTGTTGTAATAATTCACAACGTGTCAACAATGAGCTATGTAGAAAAGCACCGTGTGCCTATTATCTGTTATTTTGTTCGCTTACTTATTTATAGCGCAACACAGGTATGAAACTTTTTTGGGCGTTTTCAACGCCATACAGTGTACCAAGTGATATACACATGACATTCCCATGACGTCCTTTATCAGCATGCCGCAAAGATTTGTCAACAGAAAGTTACTATCCAAATAGAAACACTGAAATGATAACCGATATAGTATAGGTTTCTAATCTAGTTTAGTTATCTTATCGATATGAGCATGCTCTGGACACGCGAGACCTAGCTCTAGTTCTATATCCCTCATTGGCTCTGCTAAAGGCCCAACGCGTTAGAACGACGCCTGATCCACAGACGGATGTAAGCTAGGTCATGCCAGCGGAAGGGAAAACATTTGAAAAAAATGGTTAATAACGATGTTTTTATGACCGATATAGATAAAATCCTTCGTAAATTATCTCTCTCTCTCACGCACGCACACACACATGCACACACACGCACGCACGCACGCACACGCGCACACACACGCACACACACACACACACACACACGCACACGCACACACACACGCACACGCACACACACACGCACACACACACACATCGCCCTGAATCTGTTTCTGTCTGTCTGTCTGTCTGTCCGTCCGTCCGTCCGTCCGTCCGTCCGTCCGTCCGTCAGTCCGTCCGTCCGTCCGCGCGTCCGTGACACACGAGCGCGCCGGGGGTGGGGGGCATTCACCCCACATTATGATAGGTATATGTGCCACTGCTAAGTCAAAAATGAGGGGATCTGGAACTAATGTTTGTTGAATGTGGGATGCTCTGGAACTGGCTATGTTCAAAAATGTAAACTTGTGATGTTCTGGAACGAGATATTCTTAAAGATGCCATGCACTGGAACGGAAGTTTAGGGTGAAAAAGGGGGTCTCTCCCGCGGCACATACCTACCATGCAATATATATGGAGTGCCCCCCTGGCGCGCGCGCACCTGTCTGTCTGTCTAACTGCATACACGCACAATTCAAACAGTGTCAAGAAATGTTTTAATGAAACCTCGTAGATGCAATTTTCTATGTAGCTGACATGAATTTGTTCGAAGAAATCACGCCTATTTTTGATGGCACACACAACATCGAGTGGTTTTACTCATTTATTACTTTTCTTGTGTTTTACATTCAGTGCCTACTGAATGTGAAGTGATTGGCTTAGACTTAGACAAGACATGCCATAATATTAGACGGCTAAAAATAGGGAGGCGCGCGCCGGCTGCCCTCTTTCTTAAATACACACAAGGCGGTACTTGAACCCTAGACCTCTCTCAACCTGCTCAATATTTACTTATCTCGTGCCAGATATTAGAAAACGAAAAAGCCACAAGAGAGATGGGGGATAATAGAAAATGCGTGATATAGCACGCACGCACATAGAGACAGAGAGGGGGAGGGGGAGGGAGGGGAGAGAAATAAAGATAGATAGAGGTCAGAGGCGCCGGAAGTGGGGGGGGGGCGGCCGCCCCTCCAATCCAAAAAGTGGGGGGGGGGCAAAACCAAAAATACCCTCCCCCCACAAAAGAAGAGTGGGAAAGAAAAAATTAAATGTATGAGCTAAGCCTTGTTAATTCTAACGTTCAAAAACTAATTTATACATCCATTATAAGTTTTCGCTGCGCGCTTTGCGTGATTAACGCGCATGTAGCACATACGCGCTCACGCACCCACGTCGTATACACGCGCTCACGCACACACGACACACACACGCGCTCACGCACACACGCGTTCACGCACACACGCCACACACATGCGCTCACGCACACACGCGCTCACGCACACACGTCGCACATACGCGCTCACGCACCCACGTCGCACACACGCGCTCACGCACACACGCCGCACACACACGTCACACACACGCGCTCACGCACACACGCGCTCACGCACACACGTCGCACATACGCGCTCACGCACCCACGTCGCACACACGCGCTCACGCACACACGCCGCACACACGGCCA